ATACCCACCTACTTTTGAATGCACATCATGTGATCCCATAGAGAAATTCAAATGACTGAACTGCTATACTCAATAACGTGAATGGATCTCATAAATATAATGTTGAGCAAATGAAGCTAGGCATAAAATAATATTTACTATATAATTCAATTTATATAAACTTGTGAACTAGGCAACACTAATCTATATTAGAAGTCAGGATAATGATTATCTTTGGGGAAATATATAGACTTTGAAAGGGAGAGTATGTAACAGGAGAAGCTGAGGAAGTCAGTAGGGCTCTATTTCTTGAGCAAGGTGGTGGTTACACAGTTCTGTTTTTCATATTTGTGAAAATTCATCAAGTTATACACTTTTCTGTGTGTATGTAATATTTCAATAAAATATTTAAATATAAATTCTATAAATAAAATGTGAAATGCTATGTGGTTACTTGAAATAAAACAAGAAATAATTAAAACACATAATATAGTTTCAAAAATGTTTACATGTAAGTTGTCATTTGATTAAATGCTCAAAATAATCAACAAATCCCCAAATAGGTAAAAATTTTTCTTGAATAGAACACCCTAAGAGGTGAACCCCTTGAGTTCAGTAACACATTCACAGGAATTTCACTAGGTTTCTCTGTTCTGGCCAATTTCCAAGCAGACCTGTGGCCAGTTTCCTTCTGTCACATGAGCCAAATCTCACCTTGAGGTTATCTTCTGTCTCTGTTGTATACTGTAAACAGAAGAGAAGGTTAGTGTAAAATCAATGGCATTCTTTTACGATCATGCTACAAGGAGAATGTTTGACATTTGAAATCCTGTTTGTTTTCATTACTTTTTTTTTTTTGCCTGTTTTACATCTTGTACATTTAAAATTGCTTATCATTAAAGAAAGTTTTATTTTGCTATTATGGAACAGACTGAAAATGTTAAGATATTGTTTTGTTTTACCTGGAAATCAAAACGCTTGCTTGCTTACCTAGACATTCCCCCACCCCAGAGCATTGGTGAACATTTAGGTTCTTCCATGTTAAACTCTGTCTCAGCCTGAAATGTTACATGAAATTAATTACTATTTCCTTCCTTCCAGCTAATGTGCCTATGTTATGAAGTTACATTCAAAATGGTGTCCTTATTATTCCAGAAAATTAAATTTTGTGATCATATAAGAAAATATTTTTCACATACATAAGTGTAGGCTATAATATTTTCTCATTCATAAAATGAGAGAGAAAAGTATAAAATCTCCAGGATCACTTCCAGCACACCTCAAGTCAAAGATTATACTCTAGAAATAAATAAAATAAAGTCTATTTTATAATTTATTTAAAATTTTTTTCATATAGTTTGTCAAATCTACTTCCAAAACACCTGTCAAAATTTTAGTTTAGAACCATTTTGTTGTAATGCTTATATCTTAAATGAAATTTTAGATTCTACTGAAATAAATATTTGATGATATTCTGTATATTGATTTACCTTCATCAAATTTATATCTACTCACAGAAAATGATACGTCTTATTCTGGTAAAATCTATAAAGTACGTCTTAGAACTCTGTAATACATTGGTTTCAATAGTTTTCCATCTAGATCATGTCTTTGAACATAAGTACAATACTTATCACATCAGAGGTAAAATATTTATTAATAGATTAATGAGCAATACTTAGGTGTAATGCCTCATATATTAGGTAATTTGGTAAATAACTACAAAGGATGGTATTAAGGAATTCAGAGATTGCCAGTGCTTTTAGGGATCCCTGTATACTTCTTAAAAAATACTAAGTTATGATGTTTTCTTTAGAAATATTGACAGTTAAAAGGTTTTGTATGTCTTCAAATGTTAGCAATTAACAAGAACAAAAAATTATTCTAGTTAACAATGTAAGACTTTTATCAAATTTGTCACTAAATACAGTGTAATTCCTCAAGAGTTATTTATGCTCCTTCCTTAATTTTTCACTTTTTTTCCCTTCCACTCCTAGGGTTATCTGTTTTAGTGAACAGGGAAATTTAGTCGAAATAAAATAGAGATACTACAGCAGGGATTCTCATGACTAGGTTCTCATGCCATTATTTGTCTCATGATTCCCTCCAGTGACTTAAGCAGAAGTGACTCTGGCTAAGGAGCCCCAAGCCAATTTAAACTTTGACAATCTTACTGCAACAGAGACAAATGCAGATAATACTCACTGCAAAAAAATTTATGACAAAACTTCACCAAATGATAGTGAAGTCTGCAATAATACATAGATTATTTTTACCTCAAAACAAACATAAAATACAACAACCACTGAATCGAAAGGAGTAGCAGAAAAGACACTCAATGGACAGCACAAACTGCCGAGCTCATTTTAATGCACAGTAAGCTACAAAGGTAATGTAACATCCAGATCTGTGCTGGCCAATAGAAATATAACAAGAGCAATATATGTAATTTTTAATTTAAAAAAGTAATCGTGATAATATATGTAATTTTAAGTTTTCTATAGCCACATTAAAAAAGCAAAAAAAAAACCCTAATAAATTAATTTCATTATATATGTATTTTAATGTTTTTATTGATTTTAGAGAGAGAGGAAGGGAGAGGGAGAGACAGAAACGTCAATGATGAGAGAGTCGTCACTGACCGGCCGCCTCCTGCACACCCCCAACCGGGGATGGAGCCCGCAACCTGGGCATGTGCCCTGACCGGGAATCGAACCGAGATCCCCTGGATCATAGGTCCATGCTCAACTGCTGAACCAGGCCTGCTGAGCCTATATATTTTTAAGCAAATATATTCAAAATAAAATGTTCTCACAAAAAAAAAAAAAAAGATAAATATGTGAAATGATGGATGTGTTAGTTGGTGGGAATCCTTTCACAGTGTATAAATATATCAAATCACCACGATGTACATTTTAAATATCTTACAATTTTATTTTACAATTATACCTCGATAAAGCTGAAAAATATTCAATTATTCAATTTGTAATTAATATATAAATACTAATAAAATATTTTAATATTTTGTACTAAGCCTTCAAAATCTGGTTTGTACTTTACAGCACATCTCAACTAGAATGCTAAATTTTCAATGATTAAAATAAAATTTAATTATATTAAAATAATAAATTGTGTTTAACAGATTAAGTTTAAATTAAATTAAAAATTCCGTCTCTCAGTCATGCTAGCTGCATTTCAAGTGCTCAATAGCCTCATATGACTAGTAGTTACTATATTGATCAGTGCGGATCTAGATCATTCCGGACACAATGAGGGGCTTCTGGTAATTCAAAGGCAAGTAAAAGGAACAGAACTGTATAGGAAGTTCTGAGCACACCTGAGGGAACCAAGAAAGAGGAAGTGACCCTCTGTTGGCCTCTAGAAAGTGGATTAACCACAATATGGATAGTTTGTGGAGGGATAACTATGATTTATCAGTTATCATCTAAATATACACCATCTTTACACATTAATTTCCAAAAAGGACATGTTGTTACTTCCCCCATCGTTAGTAAAATACAGAGCTGGGTGAAAGTGGGTTTACAGTTGTGAGCATGAAAGTTTATTCTCGAATTATTGTATTATTTTCCATACGAACAACTGTAAACCTATTTTTGCCCCACCCTGCATGTTTAAACTCCCCAAGGAAACCTAAGCTATTATTCCTGATTTCTCTCTGTCTCTCTATATCTATCATCTATCTCCCTACTAAGGCACTAACTAATGTTTCCTCTTCAGTTTGAAAATATCTTCAATAGCTGTTCCTTCCTTTCCTTTCCCACTGTCGCCACTCTAGTCCAGGGTCCCACTTCATCACATCATACCTGAATTGCTGCTAAAGCTTCCCCACTGTTTTTATTCCAGTCTTTCCAGTGTAATCCACAATGTATACCTGTATTACATTAAGCTTTCTAAGACATCATTTTCATTAGCTGAGTCGTCTATTAAAACATGTTCACTGGCTCTTGCCCTGGCTGGGTGGCTCAGGTAGTTAGAGCATCGTCCCATACACCAAAAGGTTGTGGGTTCGATCCAGTTGGGGCATGTATGGAAGACAATGACCAATGTTTGTTTCTCTCTCATTTCCTCTCTAAAAAAATCAATAAAAACATATCCTCGAGTTGACAATTAAAGAAAAAAATTAAAAACAAATAAATCATGTTCACTGGCTCACATCTGTGCTCAAAATAAACTCATTATTCTGTTTTTTTCACTTCTTAGTCATTTTGGTACCACATTAAACTTTTCCTGTTTTTGTTCTCCATTTGTTTAATATGTTTTTTTAATCTCTTCTCATCGACTATGATCTTAAACGTCAGAGCTGCATGTTATTCTTCTCATAGAGCCCGCAATATGTTATGTTGTATTTTACACAACGATGCTCATAACTATTTATTAATTTGAATACAGTGGAATTCCCAGGTAACAAACTGCCTTCTCATGTGTTTCCTGGATAAGAACATGAAGAGTTTAGGCTACAGAGACAAATAAACTTCATAATCTATCCATGTTTTACTCTTGCTATTCAAGTGTTGTGTTATATTAGTTATACTACTTGGTAAAAATGTCAAGGCCAATGTATTTTTAACTTATGATCAACAGAGGCCCTAGAAAGACTTCTTTTTAAGTCATCATGCTATTGTGTTTTCAATTGGCAAGATTTTTAAATAAAAACCAATAACTGAGGAGAAACAGAAAGGAAATAGAATTAAATTAAAATACGTACCATTCTTTAAAAGGAGCAATGGCACCTTTATGCCACCACCAACAGAAATTAAACTGCTTACATTGAAATTATAAAGGTTTTACCATTTTTCTAGAAAATGATGTTGAAAGAGAAATCATTTGAACAAATTTGTTTAGTGAAACTGTGAGCTCATAGACAAATAAAAGGTTTTAGTTTTGAGAAATGTAACATGTCCTTTGAAAATTCCAGCAAGGAGTATTAAAAACATAGATTATGATTTTTTATTGGAAAGAAGTTGGTTTAAGGAATTAAAAAATGAAGTCACAGTATTAAGTTCTCTTCATGTTTAAATAATTTATTTGATGTTTGCTACTTGTGTGTTCATTTCAATACTTAACACACATATCTGTCAGACATGAAAAATAGTGGTCTATTTAAGAGGCTTTAACGATTGACAATATTTTTGAAATGCACTTTATGAATATAAATATTTCCAAAGCAAAGAGAGAAAACCATTGAATGAGTAGACACAATGAAATTCTGAGCATTTCTTTGATTTACAAAAGTATGACTAATTTTTGTTTTTCAATAAATGAATACAACCACTGTAAAAATATATGTGTGTCTACCCCTACACACATAGTACAGAAACATTTCAAAGTGGAAAATTTTTAGTACACTGCCAAAGTGCTACAATAACTGTCATCCATAGACATTCACATGCAAACACTATTGGACAAATACACTAGAGCAAATAAGTACTAATTAGCAGAACTCCTTTGCAGAACTTTTAAAAACTGGAAATAATGAAACAAATCTACTTCTCATCTGAACAGTATAGAAAATAATCTCCTATTATCTGAGTCACATCACATACACACACATTATTATCTAAGATCAGAAAATAACTTCTTACTGTACACACAGAACTGCAGCGTACGTACACTCAGCAAATGTTATCACTGGTAGAAAATGGGCCATGAGGCAAATGTCTGCGGGGTAGTGGCAGGAAGAGATCTAACTATTAACAAATAAAAAAGGAAGGCATGGCAAGAATTGGAATGCACGTGCAAAGGAGTGAAGTGGGAAGAAAGCAGAAAGTAATAAGCCAATTAAAGTGGAAAACAGCAACTATTTGACACAGGAACGAATCATGAAAGTTGGATAGGTGGGAAGGGAGAGGCGAAAAGAATTTTCTTTTTTTTTTAAGCTATATATAGAACAGTCAGTCACTAGCCAAAGCCCATTTCAAAAGTGAGTTGGCTAAATTGTCACATGAGCCAAAGCACAGACTTTGCCAAAACTACCACACAGAGTCATTCTGAACAACAAATAAGATTTCTTCATCTTCACCAGCTGTGAAGATGTTCCACAAAATTCAAAATGCTACACTCATATAAGGCGGCAGTTTACACAATATGCAGATTCAATCTTTCCTTCCAACTCTGGGAAAGTGCAAACAATGAGCTCTCCAGACCAGACCACAGAGAGGAGGAAACCTTATCTGCTCCATTATCAGTGATTCACACAACAGCAGGACCCACAGTCACAGTGAAGTCTAACTTGGGAAGCAGAGCAAAGGTGGTGTCAAATTGATCTAATGGAGAGGGATAGAGAAATACCTGTGAGGAATGTCTCCGAGCGTCTTCCCACAGAAATTCCTAGGGAGGAAATTATTCAGTGGAGGGGAAAAGAGATTCCCTGTCCTGATTTGCCTTAACCCTCACAAACCTTACTGTCTGAACATAAATAGGACTAAATTATTCCAATGTTCTCCTTAAAGCAGGAAAGAATAATAGGGTAAAAAGATTATATAAGTTCATCAAAATATGCCAAAGCACAAATTTTTCCTTACATATTAAAAACTGGAAAAGTTTAAGGTATGTTGGCTATGGGTGCATTGCTATGACCATTTGACAGCTAGGAAACTGAGGCTTTGTGACACTGATTTATTCAAGGTCACTTATCCATCACAAATTTGACCCTGGGTCGATTTCATGTCAAAGTCCTTGCTGGCCATTTCTACAAGGAAGCCTCCCATATCAAAAGAAGTAAGAAAGATAACGGCAAGAACAGCCAACATATTTTTTGTAATATTTTTTTCTTGTTAGTTCTATCATTATTTAACAAAATATTTTGGCATTGAATAAAATTTCTATTAATCCTTTACAATGCCTTAAACAGCATATCTTCCTCCACTAATAGTAAATCTACAAGAATAATTCACGGTATCAGAAGCATACGTAATCATGAATTAATGCAATGAACAGCACTAGCTGCGGATACAACACGAGACAGTATGAGCACCTGGATAAAAGAGCATAACACAACCAATAAAATATTCTTACACAAAAAGTCGTATTTCCAATCTGATCAAGTCTCTAGATCCAACGAAAAAGTTAAGAAAACAGAGGGTAGAGGAACTTAACACCACAGGGATGTAATCAACAAAACTTAAGACTGTAGCAAATGCTACATGTGAAACCTCCTCATTTTTTAAACTAATAAAATTGCAAGGAAAGTAGGCAAAGGGGAAATGTAGAGATTAAAGACACTTCTTATGGGGGGTGAGCACTTTGTAACTTATATAAATGTCTGATAACTATGTTGTACACCTGAAATATGTTGTATGTCAAATGTATTGAAAAATAAAAAGTCAAAAAAAATTTAATGTAAAAAAAAAGAATAAAAAAGACACTTAAGAGATTATTGGTATCCTAATTATTAAAAATATTAAAACAACTAGCATTTATGAGACAACTGGATATTGGAACCCTGACTGAACACTTATTAGTATTAAGAAATTATTGTTAACTTTAAGTATGATAATGGAATTGTACTTTTTTTTCTAAAAGAGCCCATAACTTATAGAACAATATATTAAGTATTTATGGTTGAAATCAACCATAAAATGATGTGATATCTGGTATTTATTCCAAAATAATACTGGAAGAGGGTTAACATGTAAATAAGATAAACAAGATTGCTCATGAATTAATAATTGTTGAAGACGGATGCCAAACATAGATGCACATTATATAATTATGTATTTTATACATGTTTCTAAAAAAGCACATGCAACACCATTACTGAAAAATGTCATTTTTTTAAAGAAAAGAAGCATATTATCAAAGAATCACAGAGCTTAAAGGACCTTATAAACAATCTATTGAAACCACCTCATTTTATAAATAAGGACATTAAGGCTCAGATAAGTTAAGTGACTTGCTCAGGGTCACACAACTTGTCAGTTCCAGACTCAAGATCAGAATTTAAATCTCCAAACTTGCAGCCCGGGGCTCTGTTCTGTTTCAAACCTATAAAAACTGACCAGTTACACATTTAGTGCAGAATATCCTTAACATTGAGTGTAATTAATAAAAGTAAGCCACGTGGCGAGGAATGAATGGAGTTAGTTCATACCAAAAAGGAGCTGCCAGTCACTGTGATAAGATCTGTTTCTTTCTGACAACCATGGTTTCCTGCTGGATTGGAGAAGCCAAACTGGGTTTCCTCCTCCTGCCCGAAGAAGTCCGAGTCCGGGTGTACGTTCCATTCCGCTTTGGTTGGCATCAGTAGTTCCGAGACACTGTTTTCACAGAGGGTGCTTGAAGGAGTCAGAGCATCTGTGTCCACTGTTAGCTTACTGCTGGGGGTCAAAGCCTGGGGCTCTTGACTGGAGTTTTTCATCGCCAAAGAGCCCAGGGAGCCCAACGGCCCCGCACCTGAACTGGAGACATCATCCATATCTAAGGGGCTCTGCTGAAAACCGGTGGCTGTCGTTCCAAAAAAGAGAGAGGTATCCAGACTTTGAGGAAGGTCAGTGGTGGCCATCAAGGCCCGAGGGTCCAGAGCCTGCCCTAAGGAATTACCACTACTGCTAGCGGGGAGGTTCCCGGCCAGAGTTGAGCTCACAGAAGCGACATCAATGGTCAAGATGCCAGAGTTCACCAATGCCGTGTCCAGCACCGCAGCAGAACTATTACTGCCGGGCACATCAGAGAAGAGAGACACCAGCTCTGCGTCACTGAGGTCACTCTGTCCCTGGCTGGTAAGTTCGCTGCTGGGCGTCAGGGAATTTGCAGCTTCTAGCTGAGCTAAGAGATTCTGGCCGAGGTTGTGCCTTTTGGCCATGTGGGTCTTCATGCTGTGCTTGGATGTGAAGAGTTTGTTACACGTGGAGACCGGGCAACGGCTTTTCCAGGTGTCCACGTCCTGCAGGTGTTTCTTGGAGTGAATGTAGAGACTGCTGCGAGCAGAGAACCTGGCAGAGCAGCCTTCCACGGGGCACACAAAAGGCTTCGTGCCCAGGTGGGTTATGCTGTGGCCTTTCAGGTGCTCGGCCCTGGTGAACGATTTCCCACAGCCTTCCACGGGGCACATGAACCTCCGGTCGTCGTCGTGCTTCCTTTTGTGCCTTAGCAGTTTGGACATGCTGGTGAAGTTCCAGCCACAGCCGTCGAAGTCACACAGGAAAGGTCTCTCGCCGGTGTGGCTCCGCAGGTGAATTTTCAGACGACAAGCCTTGTCGTACTGCTTGCTGCAGCCAGGGAAGGAGCAGGAGAAGAGCTCCTGTTCCCTGAAGTGGGCGCGGTTATGGGAAAAGAGGGCACTCACCGTGATGAACGTCTTCTTGCAGCCCGAAAAAGCGCACTGGTAGGGCCTCTCGGGCTCGAAGTGGCTGCGCTGGTGGGCGCTGAGCTTGGCCTGCGTGGGGAAGCTCTCCTCGCACACCTCGCACTTGAACGAGTTCTCCTGCTCGTGGCCCTTCATGTGCGCCTTGAGGTTGTACACGGTGGTGAAGCTCTTCCCACAGCCCTCCGCCGGGCAGCCGAAGGGCCGCAGTTTGTCGTGCGACTGCAGGTGTCTCTTGAGCTTGTAGGAGGTGGTGAACGTCCAGCCGCAGCCGCCCAGGGGGCACTTGAAGGGCCTCTGGCCCTGGCTGCTGCTGTGCGTCAGTAGGTGCACCTTCAGCTGGTGCTTCTTGGCGAAGGTCTGCCCGCACTGCGCCTCTGGACACAGGTAGAGCACCATGCCCGAGCCCGGGCCCAGCGGCCCGCGCGGGCTCTCGGCGGCGGCCGGGCCCTCGGCCTCCTC